CGCCCTGGGCCAAAGGCAGGCGCCAAACCGCTGCGCCACCCAGGGATCCCAACCTTACAGTTTTAACTACAAAAGCAAGACTACAAAGAAATGCATGAGAAATACCCCCCCCCCCCAGCAGTGTGTGGTCAAGCGCCAGAAGAGAGTACAGGTAAGACACACTAGGAAGGGTTTAGAGCACTCTGCTAGAGTCTTGAACTTAGGGAACTTAAGCGAGGACTGAAAGGAGGTAGAGAGGGAGGCAAATGGAGTGTAAGGTGGTCAGCACCTGCAGGGCAGGAGAACAGATAAACCTGGTGACGTGGTCAAGTAACTCGAAAACAAGCCTGAATTTTGTCTTCACAGAACCCCCGACATCCTCTCCATGCCTTTAGCTCCCCTATCAACTTCTTCCCAAACCTTTCGATCAGTAAGCCCCAAAGTGTGGTCTTTGGACAAGTTATCATCATCAACTCCCTGGACAGCAAGTTATGGTCATCAGCTCCCTGGACAAGTTATCGTCATTAGCTCCCTGGACAAGTTATGGCCAACAGCTCCCTGGGCAGCAAGTTATCATCATCAACTTCCTGGGCAAAAAGTTATGGTCATCAACTCCCTGGGCAGCAAGTTATTGTCATCAGCTCCCTGGGCAGCAAAGTTATGGTCATCAACTCCCTGGGCAGCAAGTTATCATCAGCTCCCCGGGCAGCAAGTTATCGTCATGCAACTCCCCGGGCAGCAAGTTATCAGCATCAACTACCAGGGCAAAAAGTGATGGTCATCAACTCCCTGGGCAGCAAGTTATCACCATCAACTCCCTGGGCAGCAAGTTATGGTCATCAGCTTCCTGGGCAGCAAGTTATGGTCATCAGCTCCCTGGACAAGTTGTCATCATCAACTCCCTGGAACTGGACCCGCCAACTCTGGGCGCCGCCGCAGACCCCACGAGCCCGGACGGAGGGGCTGGGCCCGCGATGTGCCGTGGCGAGTCCCTCGCGCCATCCCGACGCCCCGCGAGCCAGACCCGCCGAGGCACCAGGGTCCGCACGGGCCGGCCGCCGCGCTGGCGGAGGGGGCGGGGGGCGGCTTCCAAGCGTACCCGCGGCCCGGCCCGGAGGAAGCCCCGCAGGAGCACGGGCGCTCGCTCCCCGCAGCTGCAGCGGCCTCCGCTCGGGCTGCCGCCGGCCGCCTCGTGCTCCGCGGCTTCCCAGGGGCTCCGCCTCCGCCGCCTCCGCCAGGGCGCCTTCCCGGACAAGTAAGGGAAGACCAGGGGCGTGACCCACGTTCCCCGGGGAGCAGCCCGCTCTAAGTCGTCCTCACTTCAAGGGCGGCCTGGTCCCCGACTGCGGACGACCGCCAATTACGGAGCGACCCGGGGCCAGCAGGCTGGGCTCCTCGGCGCGCGCTCGCCTCGGGAGCGCACTGGCCCTTTAAGAAACTTTCCTGGAGCCACCGCCCATCTAGGCCGCGGGCGGACCCCGAGTCCCCAGCGACACCCGGGAGCGGCCGGGTCGCGGCCTCGGGGCCCCAGGCAGCCCCCCAGGAGCGCAGCTTCCGGGCCGGTTTCGCGCTCTCCTCCCCCCCACCGTGTTCCAGCAGCTGCCTCCGCCTCGGCGGCGCCCGCTCACCCCACCCTCGCGGCGCCCACCGCCGCCCCTCCGCGCCCTACCTCGGCCTCTGAGGGGACGTGGTGCCGGCAGGGGGGGGAACTGTGCAAGGAGACAGGGACAGACGTGGAGCTAGCCCAGAGGCCGCCCAACAGAAGTAGCACGCCTCGGGCCCACGAAGACCGGCGCCAGCGCCGCTGGCTAGGGCCGGGCCCCGAGCCGGAGGAACCGGCGACTCCCTCCCGCCCGGCCGCCATCTTCGGGCCGAGCGTCGTTGCCATGGAGTGCGTGCAGTCTCCGCCCCGGCCCCGCCCCCCGGCGCCGGCCCCGCCCCCGCGGGAAGCCGGCTCTCGATTGGCCAGCATGGCCCACAGTTGGCCGGGGTCAGAGCCGCGTCACGTCCGCTGCGTCTCCGGGCGAAGCCCGCCCCTACAGGCGGCCTAGCGGCACACGTGGGTTGGGCTGGAGACGACTGGGGGTGGGGTTGGAGGGACGTCACCTTGGATAGGCATCCGCTAGGTGCCGGGTGGCTTAAACTGCGGGGAATCCTAACGGTTTAGCCCTCTGTACGAAAGATGAATGGAATTCTCATTTTTACTTTTTACCCTCAGTCACCAATTTTAGGCCCATTTCTTAACTAAAGTCATGTTGTAAAATCAACGTTTTCCTTCCTTTTCAACTCCATCCCTTATTAAAACAATTAGGAATGCTCAGCCGGCTCAGTCAGTACGGCACACTTGATCATACACATTGGGTGTAGAGCCTACAACCCTGCAAAAAAAAAAAAAAAAAAAACAAGAATTGCAACTGCATTTAACCCAGGAACGGACCAGGTGGCTCCTTGACATTAAGGAAACTACCTTCAAACTAGGCCAGGAGTTAACTATAAAACATCGAATATTGGAAAATTTCCTCAGGCCCATTAAGCTAATAAGATTAGTGACTGGAAGCACTGAATTGGAACAGTTGTTTAACCAGAACTGAATACTATTAATTACTATATTAGGAACTGTGGGGATAGGAAAGAAAGGATGGCGCCAAGATCGCACTGTTCAGAGCTCCTGGGTGGCTCGATCGGTTGAGTGTCCGCCTTTGGCACCGGTGGTAATCCCAGGAGTGGTGACCCCAGGATCATGGGATGGAGTCCCACATGGGGCTCTCTGCTCATCGGGGAGTTGGCTTCCCCCTCTGCAGCTCCCCCCAGCTCATGCTCTCTCAAATCTCAAAAAAAAAAACATATTGTACAGTTCATTGGTACATTGATCATGTACTAAAATTCAAGGGTGGGGCAGTCTACCAATTAAGGCTCATTACCTAAGAAGTCTATCATTCCACAACTAGTGGAAATTGGGATCCCAAGCCAAATTTATCACTTTCAGGATGTGCTTTTTCCACTACGAGACCACAAAGAAACTGAATTCTGAACACAAACCACCACCAGTCAACATCAAGCTTAAACAGTAGTGTCATACTGAGGCTGTTTCATGACCCAGCCAACCAACTGCTAACCAAGTTCATTTCTCTGAAACAGGATTCTCCAATGGTACCTTTGGCTTCAGGACTCTCACCAAAACTCATGGCAAGAGAAGCACCCTCTCCCAAGTGCTGTACTGAATCAGCTGATGAATTTGTGTGCAAGGCTGTATTGCCTCTGCATTTACTCAAGTCATAAAAGGAGTCTCGGCCTTCTCTTCTCAAATGCCCACCACTTCCTGTTTGTATCTACCTCTATTACCCTATCATCATCCTACTCACTTAACTCCCACAAAGGTTACAGGCTTTATGAGCTTTCCTTCTCTGTATGCCTAATCTAGACCTGGATATCCATCTGCCTTCCTGGACATGTTCACAACTGAGTATCCTAGTTTCCTCAAACTCACCAACATCCCCCACCGCCACCCATGATCTCCAACTTTGTAAATGCACCATTACCTACCCTGCAAAGCTAGGAACATGTTATCTTTGAAGACTGCTCAATGGATTGGTCTTTAAATTCTCTTAATCCTTAGTACCTTACACAAGACCGTGCATAATCTTAGTTTTCTATTTACTTTCCAATTATTACCCACAATAGGTTTCAGATATACTACATAATCTAGTTGAAGATTTCATCAAATGCCTTCTGGTTTCACATAAATCCTGAAGGCCAGTTTTTCTGAAATACCTCCCCAAACATTTCTTCCCTATTCTTGGCCACCCCAAGAGTACTGACACATCTTTGCAGCATCTGGGTGGCCTAGTTGGTTAAGCACCCCCCTTGATTTGGGTTCAGATCAAAGTCTTGGTCAGGAGATCTGGCTCCAAACTCCTTTCCATTTGTCCCTGCCGGGCCCCCAACCTATGCACTCTTAAAAAAAAAAACCTGATACGTCTATTTAAATAGCACAACAAAATACTTGTAAATTGTTGTTTTTCAACAATTAAAATCGAGTAGCTCTGAAACTGGTACTTCCTGCCATTTACCAGATTTGTCAATGTCAATCTCCTTAGGGTTCTAGTGACCTTATCATGGCCATGAGGAAAACACGACTAATGCCGGACCAAGCTGCATCTGACCCACCCACCTCATTTGCCTTGAAGCCATTCTTCCTAAATCTGCCCAAATGGGTCTGGCAATACAAACACAAAGCTATTTCTGTGAAAGCAGATTTTTCCAACAGCAACTTTGGCTTGAGGGCCACCATGAGACTAAGCACACCTTTCTTACAACTGCTGTATGCTACCCGATCCTTTCCTTTATCTCCTTCAAACATCCTTCTCACCCGCCCCCTACCACCCTATACATATTTAGCATGCTAATTGTTTCTTGGCATCTGCTTCTTAGAGAAGCTACCTATAATTAAAAACTGTAAAAGGGGGCAGCACCTGGGTGGCTCAGTGGTTGAGTGTCTGTCTTTGGCTCAGGGTGTGATCGCAGGGTCCTGGGATTGAGTCCTGCATCAGGCTCCTCTGCTTACGTCTCTGCCTCTCATGAATAAATAAAATCTTAAAAGTGAGTTATAGATCCGTTTTCATGTGGAAACCTGGATGAATGTCATGGTATATATCTGTACTGGCTAATATTCCCGGCTTCTGTCCTTCCTGGAATATGTGGTCTCCATTTGCAAAAAAGCTTTTCAAAGAACATGATGTGCTCCATCACTTTAAACCTTCCAACACACTCCTTCCCACTGCTTCCAATCAAAGCTTGTTTCCTTCCCCCATCACGTAAGAAAGGCCTTGTATTTAAGATACTCTATCCTCCCTATCCTCTTAAAACTCTCCTATTGTCTACATCTCTCTAATTGCTATTACATATAGCTCCCTGGCTTCCTTGTGCTCTGAAAATGCTGGATAATCACCACCATTTAAATACAGCAACCTGAATTTAGGAAAAAGAAAATGTTAAGCCATTTAACAAAAATACAAGAGAACAAATCTACACCTTTATTTATTTACTTTTCATAAGTTTAAATCCTTGAGGGGTACAGCATCTAGGAAGAAAAAAAGAAAACAGCATAATTAGATGGATGTTATATACAAATCTATAAACGTTACAACAATATGGATAAACCTCCCATTGTTCCACTACTCATCTCTAAAAGGGAGAGAACCAAGTTCTTCTTGTATCTACATAAACACATTTTAAGAACCAGTACCAGGAGCACTGAAAATCCATTTAACTTTGCTTCTTCCAGGGACAATATAAAAACCTCCTGATGAAAAATTTCAATGGCTCGACAGGGTTCAAAAGTACCCTGGGACCCCAAGAATATAGCCCTATCTACTATAAATGAACGCTAAGGAAAACAGTAACTATTTTAGAAAACCACAGGATCTAAACTCAAGGACTTGAGCCAAGTCATGGGACCTAGAAACACTAGCATCAGTTTTCTATTAAAATAAGGCTAGTAACACCTACTGTAACAAGACTGTCATGATGAAGAGATGAGAATATCCTGAATTATGCCAGGAAAAGTGAATTTTTCTAATAATCACTTCTACGTCCAATAAATTGTTCATTTACATACTATCCCCCCTCACCCAAGCTTTAGCAAAATCTGAAATCTAGGTACAATCCTTTTGAACACATTGCATTCACTTTTCCTTCTACTGCCATGAATCTGTTTCATAATATATCTACACAGTAGATGATTTTGAAGCACAACCCATTTAAAATGTGACATTTTAAAATCACATTAGTTTTTAGAGATCAGAGCCCGAACTCCTGAGCTTAGTTTGACTCAACAATTTCATACTGCTAATAACTGTACTTACCACGCGGATTCTGTGGCCAATGGCTTTCGCAGGAAGGTTGCTTCGGAATTTGGCCCGAACCATGCCGCTGTTTCCATGAGCACGAGTTACTTTTCCCCAGATTACTCTGGTTTTGTTTGGTTTGCCACCAGGAGTTACTGTGTTGCTGGTTTTAGAGAAGGATGAAAGAGGTATGAGAACCCAGGCAGCCAGTATAGAGTAACACAAATTCAAGGTGACTTCTAGTCAGTGGCTCACAACTGCAGTTAGCCACTAAGATATCAGAGAAACTAAAATCCCTGGGGCATCATTCATTCAACAAATATTTGAGTACCTATTGTATGCCAGACACTTACACAAATTTTTTTTTTAAGTCTGCAAAATAGTTTACAAAGTAACTCCCTTTCGGATAACCCAGTAGGTAAGTAAGATAAATAGAATGTAAGATAGTAGCTGCAATATTTTTTAAAAAAACACAGAAAGGCTGAAGGTATGGAGTAAATCCTAGCTGGGCTAACAGTAGAAATAGGGAGCCCTGAATGACTAGGGTCCTAAAGCCTCCTTAATGACCCTTGTTTTTACTAAAGGCGGGGAAGAGTTGGAATCTGAGCAACGTACAGATGATCTGAGTTATAATTTTAAAGTATTATTCTCATTCCAGGAGGAATGGGGGGGGTGGAGATGAAAGCTATGTCCCCAGAGATTTTCACTGGTTTAATGAATTTAAGAATCAAGGCCCCAGACATTTTTAAACACCTATACAACATAATTTCAAGAAAGCAACAAAGTGAATCAAGGTACACGAGATAAAGTAAGGAATCGGTTCCTTCCTTGAAACAGTCAATAGCTGAAATCTTTCTAAGTGCAGAGGATACCTAAATCCAACACTACCCAGACAAGTAACAACCTTCTATGACCTCCTATGAAATTCCTTAAAGATTCAAAGTACAGGGCAGGGATCCCTGGGTGGCCTGGGATTGAATCCCACCTTGGGTTCCCTGCATGGAGCCTGCCTCTCCCTCTGCCTGTGTCTCTGCCCCTCTCTCTTTCTCTGTCTCATGAATAAATAAATAACATCTTCAAAAAAAAAAGATTCAAAGTACAAAACACAAAAGTACCAACTGCTTTGCCAACATCTTTTGATTCTTCTTCTCCTTTGAATAGGAAAATGCGACAAATCTCAACTAAAAAATGCAAGAGAGGGATCCCTGGGTGGCGCAGCGGTTTGGCGCCTGCCTTTGGCCCAGGGCGCGATCCTGGAGACCCGGGATCGAGTCCCACGTCGGGCTCCCAGTGCATGGAGCCTGCTTCTCCCTCTGCCTGTGTCTCTGCCTCTCTCTCTCTCTCTGTGACTATAAATAAATAAAAAATTCTTAAAAAAATGCAAGAGGCATTAACACTATGAACTTACTTCTTTGCTTTGTAGACATAAGCACATCGCTTGCCGAGATAGAACTCCGTTTCATCTCGAGCATAAACACCTTCGATCTTAAGTAGAGCTGTGTGCTCCCTCTGGTTCCGGAGACCCCGTTTATAGCCGGCAAAAATGGCCTTGGACCAAAGCCTGAGACAAAATACAGAGTGACCATAAGTCGTGCAAAGATCTGGTTTCACTGGAAGAGCTCACCTGTAACGAGCTCTACTCAAAAGTCACCTGCAGCGAACATCTAATCCCCAGCCCCCCCCCCCCAGTTTTCAGCAAACTTTTTTTTTACAGATGCAAAAAAAAAAAAATCATATTTATAAAGTCTGTACCTTCCAGACATAGTCGTCGCTTTAGGAGTCCTGTTCCCAGCAGGCCTTAAAACAAAAAGAACCAGTTTAAAATCTTGCAAAAGCACGTTTCCCGCCCAGTCCGCTCTCGGTAGCGCTCGGCATCTGACAGGAAGTCTCTCAGGTGGGAGACACCTCGGGCAGAACCGGCTTCGTAGTCAAGGAAACAGCTCCTGGAGACGCCGAAAGGATGCCCCGGGCGAACTCAGACCACGTCGGGTAGGAAGGGGGAAAAAAAATAAAGGAAAGAAAAGCGAGGAATCGGAGAAGCACACAAAATAGAAGCGGAAGCACTGAATGGGAAAGGCAAGGCAGAGGAAGGGGAGCTCGTAGACATAACCAGGTCTGGAGTGGGAGCGTCTTGAGAGAAAAATAAAAAAATAAAATAAAATAACGGGCGAACGGCCTTTATCCCTCCGCTAAGGCCCAAGCAGCAACGGCGATGACGGGAGCGCCGGTTCTCCGGGAGTCCGGGCACCAGCATCATCGGCCCCGCATCTCCGCCATCCTGGCTTCCCCGCCGCTGGAATCCACAGCGCTCGCTCGCTGACACAGCCTCCGAGCCGCACCAGCGCCCCGCCGCAGCACAGGGCTCGTCTCACCGCACTTAATCGGCCCCCAAAGCTCAGGAGCGGGGGCTCTCCTCACCTCCACAGGCTCCAAGATGGCGGAAAGAGAGAGGCGAGGTCCCGCCGCGTGGCCTTGTGGGATAACACCTTTCCGCCCCGCCCCCCGGGTTTAGGCGTCTAACGCAACCGCCCAAAAAAAAAAGAAAAAAAAGAAAAAGCCTCAGCTGTTGTCTTTGACTGAAAGAAACGACTACATTCGAGAGCACTCTTACAGGTCTTTCTCTGAGTGCTTTTATCTTTGAGAGTTGTAATATATGTGGTTTTTGAAACAGAGGGAGGCAAGAGCATAGCCAGCTATAGGAGGACGAGAAAAGGTCCCCGGAGCTTCGCGTTGCCATAGAAACAGCAGGGCTTGGTTCCTGCAGCCGGGTGCAGGCTGCCGCCCCGCCTCGGGGACCCCAGACTGGATTCGCCCACGTGGGAGCATCTTTCTCTCTAACTAGGAGTTGGGAGGATGGAGACTCTCGGGTCCTAGCGCGGAAGAGAAAGGGCAAGAGCACGAGGGCAGGAGGAGCTCTTCTCTTTACGCCCCCCCCACCTCACCCCTTTCCTCCTCCTCCTCTCTCATCTCTTTGCAGAAACGTCCTCCAAGTTCTTAACCTGCAATCCTTCGTTTGGACTCCAGAGTGAGTATTGCCGCCTTTTAAAGAGCAGCTACCCGGGGAGCTGTGGGGTGCCCAAGCACTGCGCCTGCGCGAAGTGGGTCTCTAGCAAATCCTGGCAGGTGATGGGAAGATAGGCTAGTGGGCGTCTAACCATTGCAGGTTTATTTGGGTTTCCCTCCGGGTTCATTCATTTGTTTCAGCAGTTTATTGAACGACTACTATGTACCGAGCTCTGCTCTTGGCTCGGAGGACCCTGCAGGAAACGAAACCACGGAATTCTCTGCCCTCTTGAGCTTACAGACCTGTCCTAGGAAGGGAAGCAAGACCCCAAGCAAGCAAAATATATGGCATATGAGCAGGTAACATAAGAAAAATGTTCTCTATGGAGGAAAAAAAAGAATGAAGCCGGGATGCCACTGTAAAGAAGGCTTTAAATATATATATATATATATATATATATATATATATATTTAATTTTAAAAATGAAGAAAAGAAGGCTTTTACTCTGAGATGAGAAACCAATTTGAACAGTTCTGTATGGAGGAGAGACTCAATCTGACTTCCATTTTAACAGGGTCAAAATTTAAAAAACAGAAAAAGAAAAGAAGGCTTTTACTCTGACGTAAGAAGCCAATTTGAGCAGTTCTGTATGGAGGGGAGACTCAATCTGACTTCCACTTTAATACTGTCACTCTGTTGAGATGGAAGGGAAGCAAGAACAGCGCGGAGATCCACTAGGAGGCTCTTGCAATGATCATGATAAGATCATGGCTTGCAGACAGGGGTGATAAGTACTGGACTTCTGAGTATATTTTAAATGTAACGCTGATAGGATTTGCTGATGAGTAAGGAATGGGAGAGAAAAGGACCCCAAAGCTTTATGAGATCTCTATAAATCATATTTAAGGTCCTCTCTTAAATACATCAGGATAGGGGAATCCCTGGGTGGCTCAGCGGTTTAGCGCCTGCCTTTGGCCCAGGGCGCAATCCTGGAGTCCCAGGATCGAGTCCCACGTCGGGCTCCCGGCATGGAGCCTGCTTCCCCCTCCTCTTGTGTCTCTGCCTCTCTCTCTATCTATCTATCTATCTATCTATCATAAAATAAATAAATAAATAAATAAATAAATAAATCTATCTTTAAAAAAATACATCAGGATAGAGTGTACGTACCTTACGGCCCACTCCCTCTATCCAGTTTTCTCTGTCCCAGAAATATACTAAAAATCCCACTATTAAATGTGCTAGAAATCCAAATGTTAAGTAGTCCTGAGAGGAATAAAACCTTAAAGGAGTTTCGTTCCTTTGTTCATTCATTTGTTCTACAAATACTTCTTGAGCACAGTGCTTGAAACAGGATATAACAGTGAGCATCAGTATCACGTTCCTGCTTTCATGACACTTAAAAGCTCTGTAGGAAAATAAAAGTGCAGTGATTGACCAGAGGAATCCTGATCCAGCCTGATGAATGAGGGAAAGTGTCACTCGCAGAAATGTCCTTTAAGGCATTTTTCAAATTGCAGGTGTAGGCCCAGTAGTAGATTGTAATTATAATACTTTTTAGGCAAAATATGTGATAGAATCAAAAGTATCAGAATATGGCACATGTTAAACGTAAATTCAGTTATTTGCCTGTATGCATACTTAAGTATATGTCTGTGTGTGCACAGTGTATATAAAAATCTGTGTATATAGGTCATTGCATCAGTCAATGTTGCCCTGGATGGAAACAATGATAGAGTTCAGAATTTCTTTTTTTTAATTTCTTTTTTTTTTAATTTTTTTTTTTTTTTAATTTATGACAGTCACACACACACACAGAGAGAGAGAGGCAGAGACACAGGCAGAGGGAGAAGCAGGCTCCATGCACCGGGAACCCGACGTGGGATTCAATCCCGGGTCTCCAGGATTGCGCCCTGGGCCAAAGGCAGGCGCTAAACCGCTGCGCCACCCAGGGATCCCGAGTTCAGAATTTCATAAAGGATCTGTGTACAAAACTGTAGGCAAGAGTGAAATTCTAAGGGATGACATAGTCTCCAGGGACGTAGGGCAGAAATAGTTACCCAAGCCCCCAAGCAAGAGCAACGTAGAGAATATTGCCTGACTGGTGCCATGGCCTTTGACAGAGAAACTTAGCCCAACCAATGATGATTTGGCAGGGAGGGAACTGGGAAGATAAACACTTGATCTCACTCTCCTACATTTATGGAATCTCCTGTTGATGTGCCCCATATGGGTCAGTCTCTTGGGGTACAAGAAATGGTGAAGATTAGATTTAGAAATGACAGATACCTAGCAAAATGCCACTTATTTAGGCTGGTACCTGATGGACCAGTGGGACTTTACAAGATGAAGAGTGAGGGGAAGAATGGTCCAAATAGAAGGAATAATGTGTGTAAAGACCCTGAGTTGGAAGGAGGCATGATTCCATAGAAGAATTGAAAGAAGTCCATTGAGACTGGAGCCATGAGAGCAAGAATAGGGCGGTGCCAAGTGGATATCTGAAGAGGAACAGAGCAGGCCAGACCATGCAGGCCTTATGGGCCAAGTTTAGAATTTTTAGCTTTTGTCCTAGGGCAATGGGAAACCATGGAAGGATTCTAAGGAAAGACAGGATCAAATTTTTTGTTAAAAAAAAAAAAAAGATTTTCAATTTTAAAAAGATCACCTCCAATTTGGGGGCTGTTACAGTTGTTCAAGAAACAACAGTCAGGTCCAGCATGGTGTTGGGGGACATGGAAATAGAAGATAAAATCCACAGGACTTAGTGATGGTTTGGATTGGGAAATGCTAGGGTCACAATGAAGGAGGAATACTTCTAGATTTCTAGCATTGAGAAATGGGAAACCAGAAGAGCATGAACATGCTGGATACTGCGTTAGCATAGCCCTGTCTTACCTGCATGAAGCACATTTACCTATGCCCCAAGCCTAAAAATTGGGAAAATAGAGAAACAACAATAACACATCAAAAGACCAAAAATCTTTATACCATGATATTTCCTCTTAACACTGCTGTTGTACCAGAAAATTTGGCTAGTTTGGAGTATCTTTTTTATTTTTTTTATCTTTTTTTTCAGTTTGCATAAAGATTCTGTTTATATGTTTTCACTTTTACATAAGAGACTTCTGTTGTATGAGACATGTTTGTATCAGCCTTCTTAGGATCACCTTATTGTGGACAAAACCATACTGGAAACGAAACTATTTATTATTCATTTAGCCTAGAGTAAAATTCTTCATATGGCATTGTCATCATAAAGCTTTTTTAAGCAGAAAGAATTTTGGCTTATGGAGGGGTAACATCTTGGTAGTAACAGCGCACTGATTTTCAGGAGAAATAGAGCCTTTCAAAAAAAAAGAAAAGAAAAGAAAAGAAATACAGTCTTTCTAAATACAGTCTCAAGTGTTCTTTTAAGTCCAGGTGCAATTAATTTTGCTGTCTGGCAGACCAGTGAAATGGAATGCTCAAATTAAATATTTTAGAATCAGAATAACGGAAAAGTAAATCTATTACATAGATATTGCCAGTTAAAAATCAGAATTTAATAAAAATATGAAACCCATGTTGTATATTAATTTACCATGAGACTCAAAGATGCATTTATCAATAATTGTATTTGTCAATAATTAAGCTGACTACCTAATAGTCCTGCATCACATGATGCCAGAGTTTCTTCCATCTCTGGGACTGCTCTAATAAGCAAAAAGAAAGGATAAGCTGAAGCTCTTTTGAAAGGGTATGGAAATAATTTAAGTGTCATTCAACGCTCTCTTAAACTAATCTGTGTTTTCTTCTCATTTTAGGTGACTGCATTTTTTGTGAAATTGCAAATGTACCATTGAAGTTACAACTAATTTAAGAAGAATGGAAGAGTATGTTCAAAATTCCAATGTATTTTGTATACGTATTTGTTTACTTATCTATTATTTGAATTGTGCCTTATGTTAAATTTATTTATCTATTGCTGTGAACAAAGTACTCCAAAGCTTAGTAACTTAAAATGTCAACTTTTATTATTTCACATGGTTTCTGTGGGTCAACAATTTGGGAACAGCTTTGCTGGATGGTTCTGGCTTGGGGTCTGTCATAAGGTTGAAGTTGGCCAGGGCTTCAATCATCTGAAAATTTGGGGCTGGAAGATCCACTTCCAACATAGCTCATTTACAAAGCTGGGGAGTTGATACTGGCTGTTGGCAAGAGGCATTAGTTCCACACCCTCAAAAACTTCCCCAAAGAGCTGCTTAAGTGTCCTCATGACAAAGCAGCTGGCTTTTTACAGAGTGGGAGATATGAGAAGGAGAGTAAGGGAGAAGCTGCAATGTCTTTTATCACCTAACGGTGGAACCCACAGTATCTTCCTGGTTACATAGGGTAGTTAGTCCTATTAATGTGGGGGAGACTACAAGGGTATGGTTACAAGAAGGTGAGAATCATATGGATCCACTTTGGAGATTGACTACTACATACTGTTTTTGTTTGTTTGTTTGTAAAGATTTTATTTACTCATGAAACACACACAGAGAGGCAGAGACACAGGCAGAGGGAGAAGCAGGCTCCCTGCGGGGAGCCTAATGCGGGACTGACTGGATCCCAGGACTCCCGGATCACACCCTGAGCAGAAGGCAAATGCACAACGCTGAGCCATCCAGGTGTCGATGTCTTTATTTTTTTTAAGTAAACTCTGTGCCGGACATGGGGCTCAAACTCACAACCCCAGGGTTAAGAGTCACATGCTACACTGACTGAGCCAGCCAGGTGCTCCTGCCACATTCTGTTTTTCATTAATCATGAGACACTTTTGATTAGCATTTAAAGATGTTGCTAGAAAAAAAAAAGTTAATTTGGGCTCAAATTCAAATTGGCTAAGGATGGCCAAATAGTATGGTTAACACAGAGTTAATAAACAGTAAGTGGAGGGACGCCTGGGTGGCGCAGCCGTTGAGCACCTGCTTTAAGCTCAGGGCGTGATCCTGGAGTTTTCGGATGGAGTCTCACATCAGGCTCCCTGCAGGGAGTGGCTTTGCCTTTGGTCAGAATGTCACAGGAAGATATTTAGCAGAACCACATGTAAACTCCTTCTTTTGTTCGTTATCTTGGTTATATGACAATGTGGACTTCACAGGAGCCCATCTGTATGATGCCTGTGCTTTTTAGTTGAAACAATTTTTAAACATTTGGTGGCTGACTTAATTTTTTCTTTTTTCTTTAGAGGCCAGTTAGAAGCCTCAAATCTTCCAGCGAACATCTGGCATTCTGAGGTGACAGTGTCAGTGACAGGCGAGCCACCCAGTGCTGTAGAAGAAGAAAAAGAAACAGCTGAAGAACCAGAAAAAGAAGTCCTCCGGGAAATCGTAGAGCCACTCTCCATTCTAGATGTGCTGAGGATCTCTGCAGTTCTGGAAGATACTGCAGACCAGCTCTCTATTCTAAACTATATCATGCCAGTTCAGTATGAAAGAAAACAAAGTGTCATCATGGTATATACACTCGTCATTATCTAGTTCTTGCTTTCTTTCCTCTTTATTTCTCTATCATTTACAGTACTTATGCCATCAAATTTAACATGGGAAATAGCATCTTTAACTCAGATAAAAAGGGCTATAATAGTTACTTGAGATACATACTCTGAATTGATGGAATGAAATAACCATAGCTCAAGATACATTGACAACCAGAATATCCTTTTCTTCCAACATGTTGGCATTATTCAAAAAGGCCTATAGTAAATCAGGCTAAATACAGTATATGCACTGAGAGTAGCCAAATTACTGACTTGCCCCACCTATCTTGTATTTCTTAGCTGCTGAAAGCAAACTCATTCCTCAGGGGAGGAAATTTAGTTGGACCTTCTCAACGTTTCTTCTAAAATAACTTTGTTATATTGTTGAATACATTGCACCCTGCCTTTGTGAACATCCAGCCACGTCATTATGTCAGCCATTACATTCCCAGGGGACTCCTCAAAGTGCTATCGAGTTATCAAAAAATTCAACTTGGTACTGAGCAAGATCTTTATAAATTCTTAAGTTCTTGTAAATTTTTAAAAAGATTTATTTATTTATTTTAGAGCGGGAGAGCATGTGAGCTGTGAGAGGGGCAGAGGAAGAGGGAAACCGAGAATCCTCAAGCAGACTCGATGCTGAGCACAGAGCCCGACTTATGCTTGATCCCAGGACCCTGAGATCATGACTTGAGCTGAAACCAAGTCAGCCCCTCAACTGACTGAGCCACCCAGGCACCCCAAGCTCTTGTAAATTTTAATAACTTATATTATAGATATAAAATGAAAAGAACTTACCATTTTTCGAGGGAGAGTGAGAGCAAGCAGAGAGGAGGAGGTGAGAGGCAGAGGGAGAGAGAAAGCATCTTAAGCAGGCTCCACGCCCATCATAGACCTTGATGTGGGGAACGATCTCACAACCCTGAGATCAAGACTGAGTTGAGGGAAAGCCCTGGGCGTCTCAGTGGTTTGGCGTCTGCCTTTGGCCCAGGGCGTGATCCTGGAGACCGGAGATCAGGCCCCATGTCAAGCTCCCTGCATGGAGCCTGCTTCTCCCTCTGCCTCTCTGTCTCTCTCTGTGTCTTTCATGAATAGATAAATCTTAAAAAAAAAAAGACTGAGTTGAAGAGTCAGATGCTTCACCAGCTGAGCCACCCAAGCGCCTCAGGAAAGAACTTATAAGTACAAATAAAAGTTGCACAAAATTCTGATAGAACACTGGATTTGGAGTCAGGAGATCTTTGTGGTTTAGTTGTGTACCATGAACAGTTTGTTTCAGTTTCTTGGTCTTCATGTTCTCGTTTGTAAAATGTGATGGAGCTTTTTATGTGTGGGGGTTTTTTCAAGATTTTTTTTTTCAAGATTTTATTTTCCATACCCAACATGGGACTCTAACTCACAATTCCAAGATCAAGGGTCACATGCTCCACTGACTGTGCAAGCCAAGGGCTCCTAAAGTGTAATAGAGTTTTAACCAAGTGATCCATATCATCCCTTCCAGTGCTAACATTATATGGGTTTGGGGGGTAGTTTTAAAACAACATTAATGGGTATTATCAAGAATTTTGTAACTAGTTAATTTTTTTATCAATTTATGAAAGGCAAAGAGATTGGAAACCCAAGAACTAAGCTTTTCCATGAATTTAAAATAAAAGTAATTCATATGTTAATCTTGTTAATAAATAGTAAAGAATAGTCTAGGGTTTCCTTCTTATTTATTCATCTCATTCAGTAAGAATAAAAAAGATATTTAAGGGCAGCCTGGGTGGCTCAGCGGTTTAGTGCCACCTTCAGTCCAGGGCATGATCCTGGAGACCTGGGATCGAGTCCCGCATCAGGCTTCCTGCATGGAGCCTGCTTCTCCCTCTGCCTGTGTGTGTCTTTGCCTCTGTGTGTGTGTCTCTCTCATGAATTAATAAATGAAATCTTTAAAAAAAAAAAAAAGTATTTAGTTAACAAGATAAAGTCTTGTGATACTTATCAGTGATACTGTGTCAGGCTGAAAAGGGTAATTTACCTTCATAGAAACACAAGAGAGATGGAAAACCCAAATTAATTTGTTAATTAATTTATTTATAAAGATTATGTTTTATTTATTAATGAGAGACACAGAGAGAGGCAGAGACATAGACAGAGAGAGAAGCAGGCTTCTCAAGGGGAGCCTGATGCAGAACTCGATCCCAGGACCCCAGGTTCATGCCCTTAGCCAAAGCCAGACACTCAACCACTGAGCCACCCAAGCATCCCGAAAACCCTAATTTATAAACAATTCAGCGGTGGTCACCACTTCAGTAAATTAAAGAACAAAACTTTTGTGCTATTTTTTTTTTAAAGATTTCATTTATTTATTCCTGAGAGACACAGAGAGAGAGGCAGAGACACAGGCAGAGGGAGAACCAGGCTCCGTGCAGGGAGCCAGACGTGGCACTCAATCCCGGGTCTCCAGGATCATGCCCTGGGCTAAAGGCAGGTGCTAAACCACTGAGCCACCCGGGCTGCCCTTTATTCTGCTTTATGATAGAAATCTTCACCCACAAAATTTTCTGACTTAACAGAGGCCCTGCTTATGATTTCATAGTAGTGCATATAACAAAGGCTTACACTCTTAACTTTTTTTAACCCCCCAATTCTACTCTTATCCCCATTAATAGAAGCTTAAAAGCCCTTCTCTCAATACGTTATTAGTTCCACAACTTTACAAAATTGCAAATATCATTAAATAATTTCTTTTTTACTTCATAATACTAGTTGTTCTAACTTAATGAATTTTACAATGCCATTGCTGCAAAAAGGGCATAGGAAATTTATTTTAAGTATTTAGTATGTATGTGGATATTTTCTTTCTCCAAAGACTTCATATTGTTTAGCCTTAGAACAATTTTGGGATGAAAGTTTAGTAGATATTATCCCTCTTTAATGGCTATTTTTTTTAATGGCTATTTTTATAGCTAAGGACATCTCCAAATAGATTTTCATTGGTAAGATTATGGAATAGAATGATGAAAAATATACTAATGTACCAGACTCTACTAGAAGTGGGAGTAATTGGACCAAAATTTGGGGAGAGTTCCCCTGCAGGAATACTGTTTCTCTTACCTTTTCCCTTAAGATTTAATACCCTACCTTGTACCTTGTACCTTGTACATAGTGTGTGTTATATAAAAATATTTTTTTAATGAATGGACTAAAACACTTAGCTAGTTCCTTTAAGTTTACTCTTTAAAAAATTCACGTTTATTTGCAGTAATTAGTAAATCAGGCTGCTTGACACATTTGCCTCCTTTTCCAGATGCCCAAGCATAGAGGTAGAGGAAAAATAGGGAAATAGAGCTTCCTAGGCCTTGCACTTTCCCCTCTCCTACCTAAGGAAAAATCTGAAATAATAACCATTCTTGAGGTTTTCCTTATGTCCAGGTAAGTTTCAGTGTAATTGTTGAAATGCTACTTTTCTGTCCTCTTTGTAGCCAAATTAATTTTAAAGGATCATCTTAAAATTTAATTATTTTTTAAGACAGCATTTTGTTTTGTTCTTCCCTACAAATGTTTTCCTCAGATCTGAATCTTTGCTTATTGTTGATGTAAAGAAAAATGCAGTTAAGTCTGTGTTTATTAATCATTCATAGACCGTTTTTTAACATTTCTAGGCTAGTTGAAGTTTTTTAACATTTCTAGGCTGGTACTGATCATATGCACAGAGGAAAAGTTTATCTGCATATTGATACATAAAACCTTGGATAAACTTTTCCTCTGTGCATATGATCAGTACCAGAATTTAAGTAATTATAACAAGTGCAGAACTTACATAGTTCTATGTACTGTTCTAAATGCTTTATGTATATTAATGTATTTAATCCTCATAATTCTATGAGGGCAGTTACTATTATCCCTATTTTACCAATGGGAAAATGGAGGCATAGAGATATTAAACAGCTAAGTCAGTATGGTTTGGTAAGAAGTAAGGCTAGGATTCAAATGAGGAAGTTTGGTTTCAGAGTCCACAGGCCTAATCTCTATGCTATATGGCCTCTCAATAGCTAAAGCTTTTAGCAACAGATTAAATAGGAATTGTTAATTTAAGAGACATATGTTTTTCCTGTAGTTGATGCCTACCCCTCAAGTGTTCCAGTTTGGGTCTGAAAAATGAATTACTTTGGCTTTTCCCTACATGACCTTCGAAATCTATACCACGCCACTAATTTTACCAACTTAGGCTCTGTGCTATGATTTTCTTTCATTCTTTATATTTCATATTCATTTGTTCAATGAACACATAAGTCTTCTATGCCCTAGGCATTGTTCTAAGCAATGAGACTGTAAAGATGGCCACATTTATTTTGCAGTCTTGTTCCAAAAAGAATTTGAGGTGAACCAAGATCTCTAAGACCCTGTCCCTTCCCTCATAGAATTTACAATCTCCTGGAGACACTTATACAAATAATTACAATATGGTAAATATCTGCTAATAGATTTCACAAAGAACTTTATCTTTGATCATGGTCTTAATGTTTGCCAGGTGGTAAGTTGAGGAAAGAGACAAAAGGAATGTTGTCTAAAGGCAGGAAAGCACATAATAGCTGGACGTGATTTGTGTGGCTGAAGGAAAGAGTAATTTTCTTGTGTGTCAAGTACAAGTGGCAGAAGCCCTGATATAACATTGTTTCTTTACTCTTTTAAAATCTGTCTTACATAAGACATCATTTCTTGTTTATAGAAGAAAAACAAGAGCTTAGAAAAACTTGCAGAGGCCCCAAGAACCTCAAGATTGTCCAGTCCATTCTTACCTAAAGAAGAAAGCAAGTTGCCAGAAATCAAAAAAGGAAGCCAATTTACCGATGAATGTAACAAATTGCAAGATCTTGTCTTCAAAAAACTTACAAGACAAACCATAATGTCTACGGAGATACTGAAGAAAATTCAGATTGATAGGTAAAGAAGGAGAGCATATTTGGAAATGTAATAATATATTTATCATAGATGAAAAACGGGTGCAAGGGTGGCTGGCTGCTGTCCTCTCTTGTAGATTGGTCATTAGATACACATGTACTGCTGATAATAGGATTAGCTAAAGACTCCCTAGAGGAAGTGTGTACAATTTGAAAGTATGGTGGTTACATGATAAAGGGCGGGTTGTTGAGCCTTTGTTTCCAGTTTTTATTTTATTTTTATTTTTATTTATTTATGATAGTCACAGAGAGAGAAAGAGAGAGAGGCAGAGACATAGGCAGAGGGAGAAGCAGGCTCCATGCACCGGGAGCCCGATGTGGGATTCGGCCAAAGGCAGGCACCAAACCGCTGCGCCACCCAGGGATCCCCCTGTTTCCAGTTTTTAAAAGTGAAAATAATTATAGCAACTTTGCAACTTTTCTAATGCTAGTGTGAGGATTAGAAATTAGCCTGCAGCCAAGTGCCTGGCACAGATGGTAGCTATTATGATGCTTTCATCCAAGAGGAAGACGACAGACCCATCCAAGGAGCCAGCTTTTAAACTGAATTTTAATCCTGAGAATTTCTTAAAGGCATTCTCAGTTTCCATTGTCTCATTATTCATTTTTTTGTCAGGCTTGCTAACAAGGAAGCCTCTTAAGTTTAAAAGAGGATGTAGTATTCTGATAAAGATTGTTGGTAAATGAATGTTTATAGCAATTACCCAGGGCTACTAGCCAAATCCAACCTGTAGTCTGGTTTTAAAAATAAATTTTAGGGACACCTGGGTGGCTCAACGGTTGAGCGTCTGCCTTCGGCCCAGGGGGTGATCCTGGGGTCTGGGGTTGAGTCCCACATCGGGCTCCCTGCATGGAGCCTGCTTCTCCCTCTGCCTGTGTCTCTGCCTCTCTCTCTCTCTGTCTCTCTCTCTCTCTCTCTCTCCCTGTGTCTCTCATGAATAAATAAATAAAATCTTAAAAAAAAAAGAAATTTTATTAGAATACAGCATTGCCTGTTTGTTTATTGTCTCTTGCTGCTTTCATGCTATAGCAACAGAGCCGAATGGTTGCAACAGAGAATTTATGGCCCACAAAGCTGAAAATATTTACCATTTCCCCCTTTATAGGAAAAGTTTGCCAACCTCTGCATCAGAGGGGTAATGTTTCTTGTGTAATCAGTTTGGCTCAGATTTGCATACATGACAGAAAGGTGTCCTGCTTAAAAACAACCAATCTAGTTAATGTCCTTTTCATTCTCTGTGGGATGGCTCATATCTTTTTTTTTTTAAGATTTTATTTATTTGAGGGCAGCCCCGGTGGTGCAGCGGTTTAGCGCCGCCTGAACCCCGGGGTGTGATCCTGGAGACCCAGAATCGAGTCCCATATCGGGCTCCCTGCAGGGAGCCTGCTTCTCCCTCTGCCTGTGTCTCTGCCTCTCTCTTCGCACTCTCTCTAAATGAATAAATAAATAAATCTTTTAAAAAAAAGATTTTAGGGATCCCTCGGTGGCGCAGCGGTTTGGCGCCTGCCTTTGGCCCAGGGCGCGATCCTGGAGACCCGGGATCGAATCCCACATCGGGCTCCCGGTGCATGGAGCCTGCTTCTCCATCTGCCTATGTCTCTGCCTCTCTCTCCTTCTCTCTCTGTGACTGTCATAAATAAATAAAAAAAATAAAAAAAAATAAAAAAAAGATTTTATTTATTTGAGAGAGAGCGAGAGAGCACAAAGCAGGGGGAACAGTAGAGGGAGAGGGAGAAGCAGGCTCCCCACTGATCAGGGAGCCTGATGCCCGGCTTGATCCCAGGATCCTGGGATCATGACTTGAGCTGAAGGCAGATGCTTAATTGATTGAACCGCCCAGGCACCCAGCTCATATCTTTTCTTTTTTTCTTTTTCCTTTTTTTTTTTTTTTACTTTGGTGTACTTAACTTTTTTCTTAGTATAGTTATTGAATCTTTCTGTTTGAACTATTGTCAACAAACTGTTATATGGACAGCCCCGGTGGCACAGCGGTTTAGCGCCGCCTGCAGCCCGGGGCATGATCCTGGAGACCCTGGATCCAGTCCCACGTCAGGCTCCCTGCGTGTGTCTCTGTGCCTCTCTCTCTCTGTCTCTATGAATAAATAAATAAATCTCTAAAAAAAAAGTGTTATATAAAACAGTGAATGTAATTCTTGCTGACCTGATATGAAAACATTAAATAGCTGTTTTTAAAATTCCCTACCTATGAGAATATTATAAAAAGCAATGGACTAGGAGTCAGGAAACCTGAGACTACCTCTTTCTCAAATTAGTTATGTGGCCTTGGGCAAGTCATTTAACCTTCCTGAACCTGGGTTTACTCATCTCTAAAATGTGTTTTATTAGCTCTTTTAAAAATGTTTTAAATAGGGATCCCTGGGTGGTGCAGCGGTTTGGCGCCTGCCTTTGGCCCAGGGCGCGATACTGGAGACCCGGGATCGAGTCCCACATCGGGCTCCTGGTGCATGGAGCCTGCTTCTCCCTCTGCCTATATCTCTGCACCTCTCTCTCTCTGTGTGACTATCATAAATAAATAAATAAAAAGTTTTAAATAATTTAACTTTTGTAAAATTATGAAATATTTTTTAAAATACAGAAAAAATATTAAGAATGAAATAATGAATACTTATGTGTATAACCACCAAATCTTAACATTTTACCATGATTGCTTTAGAGGTTTTTTTGGTTTTGGTTTTTTGTTTTTGTTTTTGTTTTTTCAATAAAATACTTAAGATACAACTGGAGCCTCTGATGCTAGCTAGCTTCCTCACTCTTCCCCCAAAGACAAACTCTCTAATGAATTTGCTGTTTATTATTCTTACATATTATGATACTTTTATTAGGTATCTATGTGTTTTATTTAAATAATATATACAGTTTTATATGGTTTTAAATATTATATACATAATATCATACTGTACATTCAATGTTTGTTACTCCTTGGCATGTAAACTTTGTCTGGTTAAGGGAGTCCTCTTTTATTTCTAATTTGCTAAGAGTTTTTGTTGTTTATTTTCAAATGAGTGGGTACTGAATTTTGCCAAATACCTTTTTTGCATCTATTGCGATGGCCATATGGTTTTTCTCCTTTTGCTTTTGTTTTCATTTTGTTTTAAAAGATTTTACTTATTCATGAGAGATACAGGGGGATCCCTGGGTGGCGCAGCGGTTTGGCGCCTGCCTTTGGCCCAGGGCGCGATCCTGGAGACCCGGAATCGAATCCCACGTCGGGCTCCCGGTGCATGGAGCCTGCTTCTCCCTCTGCCTGTGTCTCTGCCTCTCTCTCTCTCTCTCTGTGTGACTATCATAAATAAATAAAAATTAAAAAAAATAATCCTAGTAACTTTAAAAAAAAATCATGAGAGACACACAGAGAGAGAAAGAGGCAGAGACACAGGCAGAGGGAGAAGCAGACTCCACACAGGGGGCCCAATGTGGGACTGGATCCTGGAACTCCAGGATCATGCCCTAAGCCAAAGTAGACGGCAGATGCTCAACCACTGAACCACCCAGTCGTCCCTCCTTTTGCTTTTGTTTATGTGATGAAGTCTATTAATAGATTTTCTAATGCTAAACTATTCTTACATTCCAGGAATAATTCCAGCTAGTCATGCTTTTTATCCTGGGTCTTAACCTGTGTGACTTCTGTAGCCCTTTGTAAATATACTTTATTAACTCATCCTTTTGTGTCTCCTTACAGGCAATTTTTCAGTGATATAATTACAAAGACCATGCATGAGTTAGAAGAGTCAGGCACTTTCACCAGTCTGCTGGAAGCTCTGGGCAAGGAGAGAGAAAACAAAATGCATTTCTATGATATCATTGCCAGGTCCGAGTAATATGTTTATTTGCTGTGTTGTATTTTAAAATGCTATTAGCCTTTCCTAGAAGTCCTTGATTTCTAAAGCAAATCAAATTTGTCATTTCCAGGGAAGGTAAATAGACCTCAGAAATTTAGGTGCTAATTCAGATTTCTGGGCTTTAGTTGTGTGTGTCTATAATATGTCAAAAGTATTCTTCCTATTGTATAGTAATCTTTGTTTTTTTTTTTAAATGTGAATTCCAGTTAGTTAACATTATTTAGTAGTATTATTTTCAGGTGTACAATATAGTGATTCACCACTTCCATGCAATACTCATGCTTATCATGATAATTGTACTCCTTAATCTACATCATCTGTTTAACCCATATCCCCCTCCTCTGGCAACCATCACTTTGTTCTCTATAGTTAAGAGTCTGTTTCTTAGTTTGTTTTCCTCTTTTTTTCCTTTGCTTGTTTGTTTGTTTTTTCCTTAAATTCCACATATGAATGAAATCATATGGTGTTTGTCTTTCTCTGACTGACTTATTTTGCTTAGCATTACACTCTCTAGTTCCATCCATGTTGTTGCAAATGACAAGATTTCATCTTGTTTATGGCCAAATAATATTTCATTGTAGACATACCACATATTCTTAATCAACTGAGCCACCCAGGTGCCCTTATACCACATATTCTTTATCCATTTTTTAATCAATGGACACTTGGGCTGCTTCCATACTTGGCTACTGTAAATGATGCTGCTACAAACGTAGAGATGCACGTATCCCTCTGAATTAGTGTTTTTGTATTCTTTGGGTGAAAACCTAGTAGTGTGATTACTGGATTGTAGGGTAGTTCCATTTTTAACTTTTTAAAGAAACTCCATACTGTTTTCCACAGTGGCTCTATCAGTTTGCATTCCCACAAAGAGTGCAAAGGGTTCTGTTTTTCTCCACATCTTCACCCAACACCTGTTGTTTCTTGTATTGTTGATTTTAGCCATTCTGACAGGTGTGAAGTGATATCTCATTATAGTTTTGATGTGTATTTCCCTAATGATAAATAAGTTCTGATGAACATCTTTTCATGTGTCTAGTAGCCATCTGGGTGTCTTCTCTGGAGAAATCTCTATTCATGTCTTCTGCCTATTTTTTAACTGGATTATTTTTAGGGGTGTTGAGTTTTATAAGTTTTTTGTATATTTTGGGTACCAACCCTTTATCAGAAATGTCATTTGCGGGCAGCCCCGGTGGCTCAGCGGTTTAGCACTGCCTTCAGCCCAGGGCCTGATCCTGGAGACCCGGGATCGAATCCCACGTCAGGCTCCCTGCATGGAGTCTGCTTTTCCCTCTGCCTGTGTCTCTGCCTCTCTCTCTCTCTCTCTCTCTGTCTCTAATGAATAAAGAAATTTTAAAAATCTTAAAAAAAAAAGATTTAAAGTATTGTTTACAAAGTTATAATAACGGGGGAAGTATTTATGTCACAATTTTAAGTTGAAAAAGAAAGGCTGGAAATAATAAAGTATTATCCCATCTACATAATAAAACTGAAAAAAAAAAAAAGAACATGAATAGAAAATGAAAACTAGGGGATCCCTGGGTGGCTCAGCCGTTTAGCACTGCCTTCAGCTCAGGGTGTGGTCCTGGAGTCCCGGGATCGAGTCCCACCTCGAGCTCCCAGCATGGAGCCTGCTTCTCCCTCTGCCTGTGTCTCTGCCTCTCTCTCTTTCTCTCTCTCTCTCATGAATAAATAAATAAAATCTTTAAAAAAAAGAAAAGAAAATGAAAACTGAAAGGGAATATACCAGTGTGTTAATAATATGGCTGTTTTTAAAATCTTCAGTATTTTCTAAGTCTTCACCTTACTAAGAGAGAAAATAAACTTATATTCTCAAAGATTTTATTTATTTATTTGAGAGAGAGTGAGGAGGGGGAGGAGCAGAGAGAGGGAGAAGCAGACTCCATGCTGAGCATGGAGCCTGTCGCGGGGCTCGATCCCATGACCCTGAGATCATGACCTGAGCCAAAACATGCGTTAGATGCTCAACTGACTGAGCCACCCAGATGCCTCTTGTAAATAAACTTATTAACCAAAAAACTAAATAAAATACATATACTCTTTGACCCAGCATTTCTACTTTGAAAATATAGGAAAAAATTAGCTCATATTATATATATACAAAATATTCATTGTAGCATAACGGTAAAAATCTAGAAATTGTATAAATGTCCTTTAATAAAGGAATTCTTGAATAGTTGTTAATTTTAGGAAATAAGAAACATGCAACTGTTAAAAAGAATAAATTAGAGGCGCACCTGAGTAGGTCAGTCAGTCGAGCATCCAACTCTTGATTTGAATAAATGAGAGCTCTATGATTGATCAGAGGAATTTTCTTCATATGCAGATAAATGGAAAAAGCTACAGTATTATGTGTATAATATGAATTTTTATCTTTTTTTTTTTTTTTTTTTTTTTAAGTAGGCTTCATGCCTAGTGTGGAGCCCAACATTGGGCTTGACTCATGACCCTGGGATCAACACCTGAGCTGAGATCAAGAGTCAGACACTTACCCAACTGAATCACTCAGGTGCCTCTGCAATATGATTTAAAAAAAATCTCATCCATATATATAAGAGCATAGAGAAAGATGTGGGAGGATATACATCAAAAGATTTAACATTGCTTACTTCACAGAAGGGAATTGGACGGGATTCCTATTCAGTTTTGAAATAATTCCTATTCAGTTTTGAAATATTACAATATGCACTTGTTACTTAGTAATTTCAAAAAAAGCTAATCAAGTAAGAAAAAGAAAAAAGAAAAATATGTACTACTATTTGGAAGGGAGAAGATAATCTCAATGTAGACAGTTTGCTAGTGATTGATTTTCCATATGATTACATAGTGATTATGTATGATAATCTCTTCTTTTAGTTTTTCTTCCAATTAGATAGGCATCAATTTAGATCTATTTAAGTTAGAAAATTATATATAGATTTGGGCAAATCAGTAACAAATTGTGATTGACGCTTTTTAAATCACATTTAATGATAGATAAAAGAGAGAAAAGATTTTCTATTTAGTTCCTTGAATGAGAGCTCCAGTGAGATAGAATTTATATCTTGTTAAAGACATTATTCAGACCTATTAAAAGGGTGAGGAAGGCTTTATTCAGGACTACTGTAATAGGGAGAGAGATTAGGCTCAACTCTGAATACAGTAAAGGCAGCTGAGGGTTTCTACCAGTGAGAACAGTGAGGGTGTCAATGGATGGAAAATCACTAAGAGATATAAAGAGTAGGGGATTCTTGGTAAACTAAACAGGATTCTTGCTGAAAGCACACCAAAGGCATAGACATCAAGGGTTGGGGATGAGGAATTTGATCAGATATCCAGGGTGATCAGATGTCAAGGGTGGGGGATTTTCTTTAAACTAACTTAGCAGAAATCTTGCTGCACTTGGTGATGCAGGCTGAAGGCAAGGAGAGGAGCCAAGGTCAAGGCCTACTAGAGAGGAAGGCTCAGAGAAGCCTGATTAGTTTCGTCAAGGAGTCTGTCAATACCATAACATTCATCCTCTTAAAGTGTACAATTTGGTGGTTTTATTCACAGTTGTGCAACCATCACCACTATCTAATTCCAGAACATTCTCATTCCAAAAAAGAAAGCCTATACTCATTAGTACTCACTCTCCATGCCTCTCAGCTCATCTATTTAGTTTTAAATGAAGCTTCTCTCAGTGATAATTGTCTTCACTAATAGTAAAATCATACAAAATAATAAGAAAAATACCAGTATGTAAAAAAAAAAAAGGATAAAAATAATGGTGAGTCTTGGGGAAAGCCCCACATAGGGCCTGCCATGGAATGATTTTTCCTTCTTCTAGGAGCAGAGAGTACGAAAGACATGCTTATGCATTCTACTCGGGACATGTGTGCATATATGTCCCTGAATAAGAATTAATAACGTAAAAATCTTCTGTTTAAATTCCGTTTGGTTAAGAATTTAAGAACCATTTTCACTTTTTTTTTTTAAGTAATCTCTATACCTAACATGGGGCTCAAACTCACAACCTCGAGATCAAGAGTGGCATGCTCTTCTGACTTGAGCCAGCCAGCTGCCCCTCACTTATTTTTTAATATGTATCCCACTTCAGTATTATTCAGGGGAGACACACCATGTGTTTCAAAAGCAAAAGAAAGGAGACAATTTGCCAGGTTTTAAGGCCTCTTGACATTTTGGTCAGAAAGGTCAAGATGTATGAGGTATCAGTTTCATCATGGTCACTCAGGCTCTACTCTAGAAAGGTGAACAAAAGGAGCCAGTACAGCCCCTCTGCTTGCTGAAGTGGTCACCTGGATGCTCCTTATTGGAGCTCAGCTGTAGAACATAGGTCACTATTAAAGTGCAAACTGCACCAGCACTATTCCCATTGGTAGCAGAAGGGTGTACATAACTTAGATACCATGTCAGTATTGTTTAGGCATTGCTTTTTTTCTTTTTTTTTTAATAGACTTCAGTTTTACATTTATAGAAAAATTGAGCTGAAACTAGAGTTCCTGTATCCCTTTTCATTAACATCTTACATTAATGCAGTGCATTTGTTGTCATCGATGAATCAATATTGATACATTATTATTAACTAAAGTTCATAGTTTACATTGGGGATCACTCTGTGTTACACATTCTAAGGGTTTTGACCAATGTGGTGACCTGCATTTACCATTGCGGTTTTATACAGAATAGTTTCACTGCCCTAAAAATCCTGAGTTTTACCTATTCATCCCTCTTGCCCTCCCCCTGGGTCCCTGGCAACCACTGATTTTTTTTTTTTTTTTAGTCTTCATAGTTTTGCTTTCTTCAGAATGTCATGTAGTTGGAGTCATACAGTACGTAGCTTTTCCAGATTGGCTTCTTACACTTAGTATTATGTGTTTAAGTTTCTCCCATGTGTTTTCCCATGCTTGACAGCTCATTTCTTTGTCAGCACAGAATAATATTTTATTGTCTGGGGGCACCTGGGTGGCTCAGTCGGTTAAACTCTGCCTTCAGTTCAGGTCATGATCCCAGAGTTCTGGGATCCAGGTCCACATGGGGCTTCCTGCTCCACAGGGAGCCTGCTTCTCTCCCTCTCCGTGCCACTCCCCCTGCTTGTGCTTGCTCCTGCGTGCCCTCTCTCTCTGTCAAATACCTAAATAAAATCTTTTAAAATAATAATATTTTACTGTGTGGATATACCACAGTTTATTCACATACTGAAGGACAACCTGATTGCTTCCAAGTTTTAGCAATAACTCAATAAAGCTACTTTAAACATCTACATACAGTTTTTTTTTTTTTTTTAAGATTTACTTGTTTATGAGAGAGAGAGAGAGAGAGCTGGGGGGAGAAGGGCGGGGGCAAAGGGAGAGAGAAACTAAGCTGACTCTGCACTGAGTGTGGAGCACACACGTGACTCAATCTCATGACACTGAGATCAGACCTGAGTCAAAACCAAGGGTCAGACGCTTTAACTGACTTCACCACACAGGCACCCCTCTGTGTACATGTTTTTGTGGAGATCTAAATGTTTAATTCGTTTGAGGAAATACCAAGGAGCATAATTGCTACGTCAGCATTTGGTGGTGTCAATCTTTGGATTTCTGTCATTCTATTCAGTGTGTAGTGGCCTTGCTGCTGTTTTAGCCGGGCATTGCTTTAGAGAGAGAATGCAAAGTGGGCTGACTGGTCTGTATCTCTCAAGGTGCTGAAATTTCCTTTCATTGTCATGATAAAGTGCAGTCTGATCCAGAGAGGTGAGACATCCTTTGATTTGGCCTATCTAAAAATGATAGGAAAAGACCGTTCACTGAGGGGGGACACATAGTGGGCCAATAAACAGAATAAATGTTTACCTTCATGTCATTTTTCATTTCATGCCGGCCAGTTTTCTTCTTTATGTCAAACAACACTAGTGGGTATATAGTTTTAGATGTAATCTATTGGTTTTTTTCCATTCCCCTAGAATAGTTAGAGCATAATTTTTGGTTAAATTAATACTTAGTATTTTGATGATGATTATTTTTTATAAATAGTCAATAGAGGGAACATACAATATATATAATGATTAAATTTTCTTCCTTTTTTTAAATTTTTTTTAATTTTTATTTATTTATGATAGTCACACAGAGAGAGAGAGAGAGAGAGGCAGAGACATAGGCAGAGGGAGAAGCAGGCTCCATGCACCGGGAGCCCGATGTGGGATTCGATCCGGTCTCCAGGATCGCGCCCTGGGCCAAAGGCAGGCGCTAAACCGCTGCGCCACCCAGGGATCCCTAAATTTTCTTCCTTGAACAGCTTTTTTTCTCCTAGAGTTAAATCTTGTCATTTTTTTGTCTGTTTTGACATTTCTGTTCCAAATCCAGTACCCAACTCTTCACCAGAGCCCTGAAACTCTTTAAGTGTAGTCATACATATTAAGTCTTCCCTTTTTTTTTCTTTATAAACCATCCAAACTGGGCAGCCCGGGTGGCTCAGCGGTTTAGCCCCGCGTTCAGCCCAGGGCCTGATCCTGGAGACCCGGGATCAAGTCCCACGTGGGGCTCCCTGCATGGAGCCTGCTTCTCCCTCTGCCTGTGTCTCTGCCTCTCTCTCTCTTTCTCTGTGTCTCTCATGAATAAATAAATAAAATCTTTTAAAAAAATAAAAAAAAATCCAAGCTGATAGATATATTTGTTTTTGTTTTTGTTTTTTTTAAAGATTTATTTATTTATTTATTCATGACAGAGAGAGAGGCAGAGACACAGGCAGAGGGAGAAGCAGGCTTCATGCCGAGATCCTGACACTGGACTCCATCCTGGGTCTCCAGGATCAGGCCCTGGGCTGCCCCTGATGGATATATTTGTAATGGCAGCCCGAGCTAAGATAGTTTTTATTTTGTTTATTCTTACTTTGTTTTGTTATTTTGTTTTTCTTTAAACCTAGATAATGGGATTACTAGAGATCAGCAGAATTCTGAGTGCAAACAGAAACAGTAACATAAAATAGTTATGTTCTCATTGGGACAGTACTGAATTTGAATCCTGCTTTGCCATTTACTGTTTGTGTGATCATGGCAAGGGCGTCAAGTCATGTCTTCTGGGAGATGCCAAGATGAGATTATTCATGCAAAGACTTTATCAGGGGAAGCACCTGACTGAGGGACAATATGGAGGGAGACTTCAGACTCAATGCGGAACTGACCCCAAGTGAAGGAGAGGGAAGATTACATGGAAGAGAATGTCCTGCCCTTCCTTTTCCCCTTCCTGTTCCCCCTCCTCTTAGCCTTTTCTCGGCAGCACCTATTTTAGATACAACACAAAAACCAAAAAAAATCCTCTTCTGGTTTACTAAAACAAATCGCAGTCTTCTGAAAAGTGTTGCTAAAAGTGTTCCATGGACCAACACCATTAGCAACATCTGATAACTTGTTAGAAATTTGAATTGTGAGTTGTGGGGCACCTGGGTGGCTCAGTTGGTTTGGCATCTGCCTTGGGGTCAGGTCATGATCACAGGATCTTGGGATTGAGCCCCTGCTTCTCCCTCTCCTCTGCCTGTGCTCTCTGTCACTATCTCTCTCTCTGAAATAAATAAATAAATAAAATCTTAAAGAAAGAGAGATGCAAATTGCAGGGCCCCATCTCAGACCTGCTACATCTGTTTTTAAACACTGAGGATGAAAAAAACAAACAAACAAACAAAAAAACACTGAGGATGAGCCTTGTGCATGCTAGAGTTTGAGAAACACACCTCTAAACAAATCATTCTTATTTCTTCTAGGGAGGAAAAAGGAAAAAAACAGATAAAATCTCTTCAAAAACATCTATTTACTGTCAAAAAGGAACGGCAAGCTGAAATACAGGTAAGAATCACCTGGCCAACACTGGAAGTTACTGAGCTAAAGCAGCTATGTAGAAGCCATCTTTCCTAAGCAAAGAAAAATTACATATGAGAAATTGTTGTTTATCCTGGGATGCCTTTACTACTGAAAATATAAAGAGAGTAACTAGAGAGTTGCCTGGGATATATAAGTCAGACCAGGATAGAACTCAGGGAGACCCCAACCCTCTGGAACTCCCCTCTCATCCCACTCAATCAAACCATCTACCCCCTCCCTACAGGAGACCTTGTCTCAGCAGTCTCTTGTATTCCAGCATCCCACATGGGAGACTGTAGTTCCAGATGGGACATTAAACACACTACAAACCTCCTTATACATGATGGTTCAGTTTGATGTCAACTGTATTATATTCCAAGTACAGAGTAGATTTAATGGGCTTTTATGGTCATTAGGACCTAACCTTATATCTAATTTACCTCTGTAAGAAAATGCATCCTAAGTTTTAAGCAATAGACTTGTAAAACAATGTTTGGGCTACAGCATAAGTAGTTAGAAATTAATTCTATTAGGATGTCTAACACTATTAGCAGTTTAGAAAGTTACAAATTATGGCTTAATATCAGCTTTTGCCTAGCTATTTGGACAAGTTTATACTTCATATCAGGGAGTCTTCATTATTTCCTATATAGAAGTTAGAAGACTTTTTTTGTCTTAGAAAGATTTGATTTACTTATTTCAGAGAGAGAGGGAGGGAGAGAGCATGAGAAGGGGGACGGCCAGAGGGAGAAGCAGACTCCCCGCTGAGGGAGTCCAACATGGAGCTGGATGCAGGACTCGATCCCAGGACCCTGGGATCATGACCTGAGCCAAAGGCAAACACTTTAACTGACTGAGCCACCCAGGCAGCCCAGAAGTTAGAACATTATTTTAAAAATATATTTGGAAGAACTGTCTACGAAGGGTCATTAGCTTCTCTTCCAAGACACTATCTTTATGTCTTCTGAGCAAATTGCTTAACGTAAGATAATAAGAGACTTATTTTCTATTTACTAATTATAAAGTACCTTTGGTAATGACTTTTACATCATTATCTCTGTTAACCCTCTGCTTATTGCTTACATTTTTTTGAGAAACATTTTTCTTTTCTAGAGAGTTTCACAAAACTTGGTGTGAGCTTAGGTTTTCTAATGAATTGATTTTTTTCAGAAGTTTCTTAGCTTTTTTTCCCTGAACAAATCTCTGATTATTTAAAAACTCTTGCATTTCTTGACTATTAAGATACAAGATATTCATATTAATTTCCTTTTAAACATCCGTATCAGATAATATGAAAAGAAATCTCAGGCTTGGCACTCTGCCAGTTAACTCCCTGATGTAACCATCATAACCACTTTTTTCCTCTTTCTTTAAAAAATTGCTGATGAAGTAGAGTTTTCCAGGCAACCTCTAACACTTATTTGTGAAACTTATCCTCCTAGATGACATCTCAGCCATTACATTCAGATAAATTCAAGCAAAGTAAAACTAAAGCAGAATATCACTCAGATATTTTGATCATCAGCAGAGGAATAAACCAAGACTAGAAGATCCAAGGCAAACCTTTGTGGTTTTTTTAGATTATGATTTTTAAGTTACTTAGTAGTCTTTTACCTATACCCCTTTTCATTTTTAAACAAATGGTTGCTCTAGGGATTTCTTTTCACGATCTATTTAGCATTAATACTGTACCACTTCACATAAAATGTAAAAACCTTTCACCTATATATTTCCACTATCTCCTCTCCACCACTATCCTTTATTCTGTGTCTGTCATATATATTACATTTAATGTATATTACAAAGACAAGACCAAAAAAATCAGATTTTCATCTTAATTTATGTGTTTTTAAAAATTAAGAGGAAAATGGTTGTCTTACCCTGATATTTATCAATAAGCTTCCATCTGGTGTCATTTCCTCTCAGGTTAAAGAATAGTAAATCTTATTCCTTTACTATTTATTCCAATCCATGTTTGCTGTAAACAAGTCCTCTTAATATTCTTTTACCTAGAAATGCATCTATTTTGCTTTTGTTCATAGAGGATATTTTCAATGGGTATAGAATTTTGGTTTGACAGATTTTTCTTTCAGTACTTTAAGGATTGTCACTATCTTTTGGTCTCCATTATTTATTTTGAGAAGATAGTAATTCAAATCATTGATCTCCTGTATATAATGGGTTTGCTTTTGAAATTTTTATTTTCATTAAAAATTTTTTTTAGATAGAATGAGTTCATGAGTTGGGGAGGGGTAGAAGGAAAGGGAAAGAGAGAATCCTAAGGAGGCTCAATGCCCAACATGGAGCCCAACAGAGGGCTACATCTCACAGTCCTGACTGAGATTGTGATCTGAGCTGAAATCAAGAGTCAGATAGTTGCTTAACTGACTGAACTACCCAGGCATCTCTTGAATTTTTTTTATCTTTAATTTTCTGCAGTTTGATTATACTGTTCTTAGATTTGCTTTTCTTCATATTTATTCTGTTTGGGTTTCACTTAGATGCCTGAATATGTAAATTTGTATCTTTCACAAAATTTTTGAAATTTTCAGCCCTTATCCTTTTTTCCCTTAATTTTTTATTGTGGCAAAATACACATAACGTAAAATATACCATCTTAACCATTCTTAAGTGTATAGTTCAGTGGTATTGAGTATATTTCATTGTTGTGCAACCACCACCACCATCTCCAGGACTCTTTTCATTTTGCAAAACTGGAACTATACCCATTAACCAGTAATCTACAATCCCCCCCTCCTTTAACCAGCCCCTGGTAACTACAATTTTACTTTCTGTCACTATGATTTTGACTACTCTAAGTACCTCATGGAGGTGCAATAGTATCGTATTTGTGTTTGTGACTGTCAGCCAGTAAATTTTCAGATAGTTATAAATTTTCATTTGCTTGCACAGGTCCTACTAGAACCCCAATTATCCCTATTGGACTTTTTTATATTGACCTGCAGGTCTCTCTGTTCCTTAAAATTTTTTTTCTCTTTGTTCATCTGATTAAATAATCTCTATTTGTCTATTTTCAAGTTCACTGACTTTCTATCACCTCCATTCTGCTGTTAAGCCTTTCTAGTATTTTTTTAAAAATGCATTTAGGGTAATGTATTTTTTAATTTTAGAATTTCCATTTAGTTCTTTTTTTAGTTCTCTTTCTTTGCTGAGATTTCCTGTTTTTTATTTATTATGAGCCTATTAGTGTTTATTGAGTTTTCTTTAAAATCCTTGTCCTCTGGGATGCCTGGTTGGCTCTGTCAGTAGAGCCTACAACTCTTAATCTCAAGGTTGTGAGTGCAAGCCCCAAGTTGGGTGTAGAGATTACTTAAAAAGAAAAAAAAATTTAAAGATTTTTATTTATTTATTCATGGGAGACTGAGAGGCACAGACACAGGCAGAGGGAGAAGCAGGCTCCATGCAGGGAGTCCGACATGGGACTTGATCCCAGGTCTCCAGTATCACACCCTGGGCTGAAGGTGGCGCCAAACCACTGAGCCACACAGGCTGCCCCACTTACAAAGAAAATTTTTTAAAGAGATTTTATTTATTCATGAGAGACACACAGAGAGACGCAGAAACATAGGCAGAGGGAGCCTGATATGGGACTCGATCCCAGGATCCTGGGATCACGACCTGAACTTAAGGCAGACGCTCAACCACTGAGCCACCCAGGTGCCCCTAAAAAGAAAATCTTAAAAAATCATTGTCTTCTAATTCCAATATTTAACATTTTAAGGTTAATCTCTCTTGAGTGTGGTCATAGTTTTCTTTTTCTTCAGAATGGAGTAATTTGGGGATGTGTCTTCAACACTGTGAATGTTATGTTGTAGAGACTCTGCATTCTGTTCTATCTCCCAAAGTGTACTGACATTTTTGTTTTAGTGGTCAGTTAACCTGGTTAAATTAAAGCTAAAAACTCTCACCTACATTGGGCAGTAGCTCAAGTCTCAGTTCACTTTCTTTTATTCTTACCAGGACTGCCTGCATTCTTCTTGGCACCTGTGTGCCTCAGGAATCAACCAAAGATTTGGACAGAATTTATTTATTTATTTTTTTATTTTTATTTATTTATTTATTTTTTTTCAGAATTTATTTACCAAATGTGAAGTTTCCTTTCTCTTGTTCAGCATTATTGAAAATTATTTGGCTGTGATTGTCCAAAATCTGTTTTCTGGTTTTTCGGTATAAAAAGTTTTCACTGCTTCACACATGCCACCACCACCACCCACTGCATAGCATAGTGCTGACTGTGGTCTAATCGACCTCATAAAAAGTCGGAAACTGACCACATGCTGTACCCTACTTACAACTGACTCCTCCTTCCAGAATCTGCCTGATTTAGCACACTCTCCAGTGTTTTTATGTAATTTCCTTTTGTATGAAGTCTAGAGTTTATAATTATTAACTGTGTGAGGGTCATTCTTTTAAGAGTTTATTGGCAATAGTGAAAGTAGAATTTCTAAATATTCAGTTAGGAGATAGAACTTGGGATATATAAGGAACTGAAGGAAGGCCAGTTTAGCTGCTAAAGTTTGGAAAGAAAGGGAGTGAGTAGCATAGATTAACCTAGAACAGGAGACAGGGAACAGATTATGGAGGGCCTTTAAGCCACACTTGTCTGGGCAAACATCATCAATGGTTGCCATCTAGGTAGGGGAGCCTCATCATGTAAGAAATCTGTCTTCTCCCTGGGGAGTCAGGGTTTGGACCATGTTAAAATTCTGGGTTTGTAATCTTTGTTGTTGTGCTTCTTAGGGCTATTTCTAATCTACTCCAGACCCATGGCTTTATGCTGACCTGGAGTTTCTTTAAGCAGTTACCTTTACATCATCCTGCTGCCTCTGGCACGTACAATAAAGCTTTCCAGTACTGGAGCTGCCACTGAGATATTTAGCCTAGGAGACAGTCTCAAAACAGGGTGCCAAGGAGGATTTATTTTTCTCCTGGGCCTAGGGCTTCTCATTTCCCTTAAGTTTATA